TTAATTTCATGGCTGCAGTCACCATCCACAGTGATTTTGGAGCCCAGGAAAATAAAATCTGTCACTATTTCCATGTTTTCCCATCCTATTTGCCATGAAGTGATGGGACCAGATGCCCGTGATCTTAGTTTTTTGAATGTTGAATTTTAAGCCGGCTTTTTCACTCTCCTCTTTTACTCTCATCAGGAATTCCTTGAGTTCCTCTTCACTTCCTGTCATTAGAGTGATATCATCGCATATCTGAAGTTGCTGATATTTTTTCCAGCAGTCTTGATTCCAGCTTGTGAGTCATCCAGCCCAGTATGTTGCATGATGTACTCTGCATAGAAGTTAAATAAGCAGGGTGACAGTATACAGCCTTGACTTGCTCCTTTCCCAGTTTTGAACCAGTCCATTGTTGCATTTCTGGTTCTAACTGTTGCTACGTGTCCTGAATATAAGTTTCTCAGGAGGCAGGTAAGGTGGTCTAGTATTCCCATCTCTTTAACAATTTTCCACAGTTAGTTGTGATCCATACAGTCAGAGGCTTTAGTGTAGTCAGTGAAGCAGAAGTAGATGTTTTTCTGGAATTCCCTTGCTTTTTCTATGATTCAACAGATGTTGGCAATTCGATCTCTGTTTTCTCTGCCTTTTCTCTGGTTCCTCTGCCTTTTCTAAATCCAGCTTATACATCTGAAAGTTCTTGGTTCATGGACTGTTGAAGCCTAGCTTGATGGATTTTGAGCTTTACCTTGCTAGCATGTGAAATAGGCTCAGTTGTATGGTAGTTTGAAATTCTTTGGGATTGGAATGAAAATTGACTTTTTCCAGTCCTGTGGTCACTGCTGAGTTTTCCAAATTGGCTGGCATGTTGAGTGCAGCACTTTAACAGCATCATCTTTTAGGATTTGAAATAGCTCAACTGGAATTGCATCACCTCCACTAGCTTTGTTATTCATGTTGCTTTCTAAGGCCCACTTCACGCTCCAGGATATCTGGCTCTAGCTAAGTGGCCACTCCACTGTGGTTATCTGGGTCATTAAGATCTTTTTTTGTATAGTTTTTTGTATTCTTTCCATGTCATCTTAATCTCTTCTGCATCTGTTGTTAGGTCCATGCCGTTTCTGTCCTTTATTGTGCCCATCTTTGCATGAAATGTTCTCTTAGTATCTCTTAATTTTCTTGAAGAGAAGATTGATCTAGGGCAATTAAAATTTCTGGTACTGTACTCTGGTAGGAGCAAACCTGAAATAATCTCTGTAAGGTTACATAGACAGCTCAGGGCTTACAGAAATGCCACACTGAGGAGTGGGTTAGGGACGTGAGCTTTCTGACCAAAATTATAAACTCCATAAAGAAACAAGTCATGATGAACTGGAAACAAAATTTTATAGGGATATAAAATAAACATTGTAGGGATAAAAGGATTCCAAGCAAATTATAAAATAGTATAGCATTAAAATTTTTTTAAGAGACTAAAAGTGAATTTTTAGAAGTTTATATAATTACTTAAAATTTAATATAGTGGACAGGTAAAACATTAAGAACACATGCAGGGAATTAGTGGCTGGAGGAGTGTTACACAGAAAGGTAAAGAGATGAAAAATATGAGTATGTAGGCATGGATTAGAAAACAATACAGTCATTATGTATCTAATTAAAGAATTGCTGACTAGGAGAGACAGTGGCTAATAATTTTCCACAGTTTGAGAAAAGCATGAGTCTTCAGAATAAGAAAGCTTACCAAATCCTCAGCAAGAGAAATAGAAGCAAATCTGAAGAATGTGCTCACACACACAGTTTTAAAGAAAAGCAGAGAGAAAAAGCATACCTGGAATAGATTAAATTGACAGCAGACTTTTTGTCAGTAATAGAGGCCATGAGAAAACTAGTATTTTCCAAATACAGAGAGAATAACAGTTGATTTAGTTATATGCTATTGAATTATTACTGAATGAAAAAAGGAAGTATTTATTACAAAGATACAATAGTTCTAAACCTTTACTCACCTAATAACATAGCATTACTTGTTTGCTAGGTCGCTCAGTTGTGTCCGACTCTTTGCGACCCCATGGACTATAGCCCACCAGGCTCCTCTGTCCATGGGATTCTCCAGGCAAGAATGCTGGAGTGGGTTGCCATTCCCTTCTCCAGGGGCTCTTCACAACCCAGGGATCAAACCCAGGTCTCCTGCATTGCAGATGGATTCATTACATTCTGAGCCACCAGGGAAGCCCAATAACATAGCCTAAAACCATAAAAAAAATAATTAAAAAACTGGCATTTCATAAGAAGAAATTAACATCCACTATCAGTTGAGAAAAGGCAATACATTTTTTCTCAATTTGATCAGCTTAAACTGAAGGGACTTCCTAGGTGGCGCTAGTGGTAAAGAACCTGCCTGCCAATGCAGGAGACTTGAGATGCAGGTTGGATTCCTGGAGAATCCCATGGACAGCTGGCGTGCTGCAGTCCACAGGGTGGCACACAGTCGGAGACGACTGGAGTGACTTAGCATACAGGCTAAACTGAAAGGAGAGAGACTGGAAACAGAACATTAAATACTTGATCGGGCTTGATCTAACTCATCAAATGCAAACATACATTATTGTCATTTATATATTAAATATATATTTCATTATATATTTCATTATATTTCATTTATATAACAATCAAAAAAGAAACTAAGCTGACCAAGCACTAGACGTAACGGAAATGAGTGCTTTGACTGTAGTGTATAATAAACGTAGAAGTAAATAATAAAAAAGACAGCACTCTGCCCCCAGGTCCCTAACCATTTTATTTGAAAATTTAAAACCTAGTATGAGTAGAAATTGTAATTGGACACTGAAGCACTTAAACAATAATGAAAGTGGTACAGAAAAATAGTAGAGTTTTAAATATAAGATATCAAACCCAGGTCTCTTGCATCTAAGGCAGATTCTTTACTGCCTGAGCCAGGGAAGCCCATATATAGTCTTAGGTTTTTGATTTAAGGGCGTACATATAATAATTTTTTGTTTTATTATTATATAATTTGTGACTGAGGTTTATCTTTTTATCCTAGGATCAGTGTTCCTTTCTTCATCTAACAAAAAAAATTTTTCTTTTTTTTAATGAACTTTTCTAACACATTTTTTTTTCTTTTTTAATGAACTTTTTCATCGTTTTTTTTTTTTTTTTAAGAAAATCATTGTTTTTTAGTTTTTTCAATTTTCTGGCATGACTCACTTTTGAATTACTTTTCAGGATTGAGCAAGTAAAAGGTGCATTGTTGGAGGGAGAGAAGAATAAAAAGATAAAGGCATAATCAATAGAAAGCAAGGATTACGTTTTTTTCTATTTGCAGATGACATGATTATGTAAATAACCTGGAATTTACAAAACAGCTATCAGAACTAATAACAGAATTTAGCAAGATTGTTGGACATAAGGTTTTATGTTTTTTAAAATCAGTTTTATATACAAGCAGCAAAATTCAAAAAATGTAAAAATTCCATTTGTAACAGCATCAAAAATATAAAATATTTAGCAATAAGTTTTCAGAAACTGTTTAGAATCTCTACACTGAAAACCTTTAAGAAATTAAAAAGCCCAAGTTAGCTAAGCAAGATTAGAGATACAGATTTAGGAGTTACTAGGTTATAAATGCTGTAAAAAGTTGGTTGTGAGGCTGTTTTAAGACCTGAGATGATCTGATAGTAGAGATTAAAAAGAGGATTCAGAAGTGGAAGCTAGGACCGAAGTACAGTAAAGTTATTTAATTAGGTGATCGTAGATAACAGAGTATCTATCATTTCCTAGTTAAGAGTTAAGCAGTAAGAGATGAGATACTTCATGCTGCTCACTGAATTTCGTATCCCATTGTATTAGATGAGAAATTTCTCATGATGAAGTTCCCTCTGTAGGGAGGTTTATTAACATGTGATCAGCTAAAATTTAGAGAAATGACTTTATTTTGATCCTTTGTTTTTATTTTAATATGAAGAATTTTCATTTTTATTAAAGTAGTATCTTAAAAGGGAGTTGATAATACATTTTATAAATTCAAAATTAATCGTATGTTTATCAGTAGTTCATAGTGTCATGAACAAAAGTTCTTGACATATACTACTTGTATATAGTGATTTTCAGGTAATTATATACTTCTTACAATAGGTTTTCAAATTGGAATGATAATTATTTTTTTTCCTGGACAGTTAAATGTTTAAGAATGTTAGATCTTTTGGTAGTTTTATAGGGGGAAAACCCAATTTTGTTAGATGTTTGTAAAGAAATTTACCCTAAAATAGCAAGTTTTCCCTGGATTAAGATTTAGTTCTGTTGTCTTAGTGGGTGAAGGTATAATTAACGTTGGTTTTAAGGATAGTTCTGTACTTCAGGGAAGGGCATTCTCTTGCTGGTGAGTAGCATGCCGGTTGCTAGTGTACAGAGTAAGGCTGTTTATATCCACCTTAGGTGAAAAAGTTACTGTTAACATATGTGTCTCTACTTGGACTTTTAAACTTTCAAGCAGGAAAAATAATTTTCTTTAAAAATTTATCTTTGTGTAGTTTACATTAATCAGTATTTCCTTTTTTGTCTTTGTCAGTGTAGAGGAAGGGTTGAAAAGTGTTCTGGAGTTGATTTCTTTAGACTCTGAATCAGTTCTCTGCTATCCCTCTCTCTACCAGTCTGGGCACTGGGGAGAACTTGACTCGGAAAGAGAATTTGGGCTCTTAGTAATCTTTCCTTTCACTATGTGTTATCTGTAATTAAATTTATAGTTGATAATCAGGATGCTTTTATATTTTTATATAGTATGTTGTTTGAGATGTGTGCTATTTTAAATCACCAGTGTAAGTATTTTTAAAGCATGAGAAATAATAGAAGACATTGAAAATCAGAATAAAATGAGAACTCTGTGTTGTTAACATTTTAAAATGTGAGTTTAAAATTTTATTTAATCTGTACTACTTATATTGTTAAAAACATTATTATATTAAAAAATAGATCAATTATGCTTTTCTTTTCTTTAACAGACATAAAAGAGAATTCATAAAACGGAAGAATTTTCGAAGAGGGTGATAAAAAGAGAAGAAAAATGCCGAAACCAGTAGGTGTATTTTATTACTTTGACACTGCTCACTTAATAAAGTATCAATGGCATCAGTTCCTTTTGGAACAAGGCAGACTATCATGGTAGAGTTTTGTTGGGGGAAAAGGCGCTGATATTACTGTTTGTTTTAAATTTACGTGGCTAAGTAACATGTTATATGGGCCAGTGATAGAGGTTTAAGTATCTTGTATGTATTAAGATTACTGTAGGTTGTGGGGTCAGACTTAGTTCTTATCCTCACCCTGCCACTTAATCTGACTGATCTTTGTTAGATTCAGTCCCTCCTGGTCTTCATTTCCTCACATGTAAAATGGAGATGTAATTAGTACGTGAGAGTCTGGTGAGGATTAGAAGATCCTAGTACATACACATTCAGTGCTCAGTAGAAAGTTACTTACTGTTAAACAGGAGAACATGATGAGACGTCAGAAGGATTCGTGCAGAATTAATCTTCTCATAATTCTAGCTTTGATACTAGTGATAACAGTGCTGGTGTTATATATAGTTATGAAAATGAAAAGTGTTAGTCACTCAGTCGTGTCTGACTCTACGACTCCGAGGACTGTAGCCTGCCAGGCTTCCCTGTCCATGGGATTCTCCAGGCAAGAAACTAGAGTGGGAGCTATTTCCTTCTCCAGAGGATCTTCTAGACCCAGGGATCAAACCCAGGTCTCTTGCATCACAGGCACATTCTTTACTGCCTGAGCCAGGGAAGCCCATATATAGTCTTAGGTTTTTGATTTAAGGGCGTACATATAATAATTTTTTGTTTTATTATTATATATATGGCTAATTCATTTCAATGTATGACAAAAACTACTGTAATGATGTAAAGTAATTAGCCTCCAACTAATAAAAATAAATGGAAAAAAAAGAAATTAAAAAGAACAAAGAATATAGAAAAATATACATTGGTCATAGATATTTCTAGAGAATACTATTAGACCAGTTCTCCCCAAATGTATTGGTAGGTTGAATGTAGTTCCAATCAGTTGAATCCCAGCAGTTGCATCCCTTTGGATAAAATTGACTAGCTGATTATAAAATGTTTATGGAACTACCAAAACTTTATGTGGAATATTTAAAGTGATTTGGAAGAAAAACAAGGGTGGAACAGTTAACACTTCTGGATTTCAACATTTATTTTCAAGAGACAAAAATAAGACAGGGTGGTATTGAGAAATTAGATAATAGGTTCAGTGGAACAAAAATGTATCTACACATACATTCTTACTAAATATTTTTAACAAGATGTCACACAGTTCAATGGGGAAATTAAATTCTTTTCAAGAACTGATGCTGTAGCAAAGAGTTATCCATACAGAAGAATATGAATGTTGACCCCTTATATCACAGTTTACACACATCTAATTCTAAATGGATCATAAGCATAAATTAAAAGCCCCAAACTATAAAACTTTTAGAAGAAAACAGAAAACATTTCTACAGTTGTGAGGTAGGCAACGATTCTTTGATAATACGCAAAAAGTTTGAAGCATTTAAAAAGATCAAAATTAAAAACTGCTATTTGGAAAACAGCAGAAAGAGGTGAAAAGGCAAGGCAGAATGGGAGAAAATAACTGTAGCGTAGTGTTCTTTTAGAACTCTAATAAGACAACCCAGTTTTTTAAAAGTGGGCCAAAACTTTGAGCAGATACTTCACAAAAGAGGATATATTAATAGCCAATAAACACTTGAAAAGATCCTCAGGGAAAAATAAAACTACAGTGAGAAACCACTTTATCCTTACTAGAGGGGCTAAAATTAGACTGTAAAGACCATGTCTGTAAGGATGTGCATCAACTGGAACTCTTATTTCTGATAGGGATGTGAAATTCACAGCTACTTTGGAAAACTGTCTGAATGAGTACAGGAGGATCAAGACCATCCACAAGGAAAAGAAATGCAGAAAGGCAAAATGGTTGTCTGATGGGGCCTTAACAAATAGCTGTGAATAGAAGAGAAGCGAAAGGCAAAGGAGAAAAGGAAAGATATTCCCATTTGAAAGCAGAGTTCCAAAGAATAGCAAGAAGAGATAAGAAAGCCTTCCTCAGTGATCAATGCAAAGAAATAGAGGAAAACAATAGAATGGGAAAGACTAGAGAGCTCTTCAAGACAATTAGAGATACCAAGGGAACATTCCATGCAAAAATGGGCTCAATAAAGGACAGAAATGGTATGGACCTAACAGAAGCAGAAGATACTAAGAGGAGGCGGCAAGAATATACAGAAGAACTATACAAAAAAGATATTCATGACCCAGATAGATAATCATAATGGTGTGATCACTCTCCTAGAGCCAGACATCCTGGAATGTGAAGTCAAGTGGGCCTTAGGAAGCATCACTACAAATAAAGCTAGTGGAGCTGATGGAATTCTAATTGAGCTATTTCAAATCCTAAAAGATGATTCTGTGAAAGTGCTGCACTCAATATGCCAGCAAATTTGGTAAACTTAGCAGTGGCCACAGGATTGGAAAAGGTCAGTTTTCATTCCAGTGTCAAAGAAAGGCAATGCCAAAGAATGCTCAAACTATACTGCACAATTGCACTCATCTCTCACGCTAGCAACGTAATGCTCAAATTCTCCTAGCCAGGTTTCAGCAATACGTGAACTGTGAACTTCCAGATGTTCAAGGTGGATTTAGAAAAGGCAGAGGAACCGGAGATCAAATTGCCAACATTCATTGGATCATCGAAAAAGCAAGAGAGTTCCAGAAGAATATCTACTTCTGCTTTATTGACTATGCCAAAGCCTTTGACTGGGTGGACCACAACAAACTGTGGAAAATTCTGAAAGAGATGAAAATACCAGACCACCTGTCCTGTCTCTTGAGAAACCTGTATGCAGCTCATGAAACAACAGACTGATTCCAAATAGGGAAAGGAGTACGTCAAGTCTTTATATTGTCACCCTGCTTATTTAACTTATATGCAGAGTACATCATGAGAAACACTGGGCTGGATGACACACCACCCTTATGGCAGAAAGTGGAAAAGAACTAACGAGCCTCTTGAGGAAAGTGAAAGAGGAGAGTGAAAAAGTTGGCTTAAAACTCAACATTCAAAAAACTAAGATCATGGCATCCGGTCCCATCTCTTCTTGCCACATAGATGGGAAAAAATTGGAAATATTGGCAGATTTTATTTTCTTGGGCTCCAAAATCACTGTAAATGGTGACTGCAGCCATGAAATTAAAAGATGCTTGCTCCTTGGAAGGAGTGAAAGTCTCTCATTTGTGTCCAACTGTTTGCGACCCCATGGACTTAGTCCATGGAATTCTCCAGGCCAGAATATTGGAATGGGTAGTTATGACAAATCTAGATAATCTGTTAAAAATCAAGGATATCACTTTGCTGACAAGGGTCCCTCTAGTCAAAAGCTGTGCTTTTTCCAGTAGTTATGTACAGATGTGAGAGTTGGACCGTAAAGACGGCCGAGTACTGAAGAATTGATGCTTTTGAATTGTGGTGCTGGAGAAGACTCTTGAGAATCCCTTTGACAGCAGGGGGGTCAAACCAGTCAGTCCTAAAGGAAATCAACCCTGAGTGTTCACTGAAAGACCTGATGCTAAAGCTCCAGTACTTCAGCCACCTGATGCAAGGAACTGACTCATTGGAACAGACCCTGATCCTGGGAGAGATTCAGGGCAGAAGCGGGCGACAAAGGGATGAGATGGATGGATGGCATTACCAACTTAATTGTGATGAGCAAAGTCCAGGAGATAGTGCAGGACAGGGAATCCTAGCATGATGCAATCCTTGGTGTTGCTTAGAGTTTGACACAATTTAGTGACTGAACAGCAATGGAATTACTCCCAGAATCAAATGAAATAGCTCTGAAGTTAGCCTTCTGGGCCTTTTTTAAACAGGCCTTTTTCGAAAATAGGCTTTTTCGAAAAGCCTATTTGATGTTTTTTATGTTAACATCTGATAGGTTTATTCTTGTTATATTTAAGTTAATATCTTAAAAATTTTCTCAGTTTTAATTTCTAATGTGAATGTTGATAGAGAACTCACATAAGAGCTTTTTTGGAAGAGCATGAGGAGATCCAGAGACTATGAAATTGGAGAAATTCTAACCTAGGGCATTATAATTGTCTTTTTAGTTAAGGGTAATTTACTGTTCAGAGAAGCTTGGTGGGCTACAGTCCATGGGGTTGCAGAGTTGGTGAGATTAATTCAGATTCACCCACAATAATTTTCCTATCTTAAGATCAACTGATTAGTAACCTTAAGTACATCTTCAAGATCAACTGATTAGTAACCTTAAGTACATCTTCAAGATCCCTTTTATCATGTAATGTTAATGTAATCATGGGAGTAAATTGTAGTTTGGGGAAGTCTGAGGGCTGTCTTATAATTCTGCATATACACATAAGAAAATGTTCCCAACTTTATTAGGAATCAAGAATCTGCGTATTAATAACATACTGAGATATCAGTTTATACCTACTAGGTTGTTAAACATTAGCAAATCTGATAACTACTAGTGAAAATACAAAGCAGCAGAAATTCTTATTCACTGTTGTTGGGAGTGTAAATTGATGCTGTTGTGTTAGAAGACAATTCAACATACGTTGTAAAGTTGAAGGTGTGTAGTTTGTCACCCAGGGGTTCTTCCAAGTTATACTTCTAGAGAAACTCAGACACTTGTACTAGGAGACATGTACAAGAACGTTCACACCAGTTTTGTTCTTAATAACCAAAAAATTGGAAACAATTCAATGTCAATTGATAGGAAAATGATAAATGAGTTACTCTCTAGTCACATAAAGATGAATGAATTGCAACTACTAACAAAAACATCAATGAGTCTTAGAAATATAACTGAAAAGGCAAATTATAGTTTAGCAAAATTTTTGTTTAAACTTTTTATTGAATTAGAATATACATATGCAAAAGAATATGTGTGCTGCTGATGCATTTTCATAAAGTAAATACATATTGTAATTGTTGCCCACATCAAGGAAGACTTTATTAGCAGGTACTATACAATTTTAGAAAGATCCCCTGGAGAAGGAACTGACAACCTGCTCCAGTATTCTTACCTGGAAAATCCCATGGACAGAGAAGCCAGGCAGACTACATACAGTCTATGGGGTTGCAAGAGTCAGATATGACTTAGCAACTGAACAATAACAAAACAGCTAAAAATCAAAAACTAAATAATATTTTACCATAGATACCTACATTTGTGATAGCACAATTGTTTTAAATAAAAACTAAGAGGATCACAAACAGAAAATTTAGGTTAGTGCTTACCTGTAGAGATTGGGGTCCCAGAAATTCACAAAGAAGAAATATACTGGTGACACTGCTTTGTCATTTCTAGTTTTTAAGTTGAATGGTAGATTTATGGGTAAAGGGAAACACTTTTGTAATTCAAAATGTTACTGGATGTGTGCGTTTTCCATACCAATCAGTTCCCGGGTTCTATGTGGATACCAGGTGTGCGTCCTGCAGTTTACTATATTCTGACACAGCTACCCAGAGTTAACGCAAACCCCAGAGATTAAGGGCCCAGACCACTGGACTGCTGAAGCTAATCACTGGTAATGCATGTGACTCTCTCTCCTGGCTAACTTGGCTAAGGTTTGGAGATTCCTACAATCCCCTCTTCAGGTTCTGTAATATGCTGTAACAGCTCACAGAACTCTGGGAAACACTTTACTGCTGTTACTGACTGGTTAATGTAAAGGAAACTATAAAGAGTACGGATTTAGGGGACGAGGTCCAGAAGAGTCCTAAAGAGTACGGATTTAGGGGACGAGGTCCAGAAGAGTCCTGAGTAGCTTCTTTCTGTCTTTGTGGAGTTTGCGATGCACACCCTGTCAGCAAGTGGGTGCATTCTGAACCCCTTTGTTTAGGGTTTTATGGAGCTCCAGTTCATAGGCATGATTGATTAAATCATTGGACCTTGGAGATCAGCTCTCTTTCCTCACCATTCGCCCTCCTGGGTAGTTGGGATGGGTGGCTGAAAGGTTCAGTCCTCAATGGCATGATTCTCTGGGTACTGGCCCCCATTCTAAAGCTATTAGGGCCCATCTAGAGTCCCCCATTAGCATAAACTCTGGTATGGTTGAAAGGAGCTTGCTATGAATAACAGAAAATCCTCTCACATCTATTACTCAGGGAATTTCAAGGATTTTAGGAGCTCTGCTGGGAACCAGGATAAAGACCAAATATGTATTTATTATTATATTACCATTGTTTATTTTATTATGCTTCATTGTCTATATATGTTACATATATTTTATGTGTATTAAATATTTCCTAAATTATTATAAAGGAGGAGCTCTATAAGATATTTTTGGAGAAAGTATTTCAGATAAAAGTACATGTGTGGAGATACATGTGGTTTTTAGAATGAGTTAAAGATAAGGGGAAATAAGTCTGATTTAGAGTTCTAGTGTGAGTTAAAAGATAGGTTTTTACCATGTCATGGTGGATTCTAGGTGAAGATGCTGTTCTGGAATAAAAATTACTTTGGTTAAGCATGTTACATTTGTGGTCAGATATTTAACCTAAGAATGTATTTACATATAAAAATCAGAATTTGAAAAAGTCTAGCAAGTAAAAGGCAATAGATGAATGCTTTTTATAAAGAATACATTTACAGTATAAATAAAACTAAATATTTGATTTTTGTGTTGAAAGAAATATGGAATAGTGAATGACATTCAAAGAATTTGGAGTTGTACCTCAGTTAAATACCTGCCCTGCTTTTTAGTATCTGTGTGTTCTTGGGCAAGTGACAAAGAGTTTTTTATATAAATGAACACTTCTGTGGAAATGCACATATCTCCTGCTATTGTTGTAGAAACTAAACAAGAATGTGAAAAGCACCAGGCCTGGCACCTCCTGTATGTTAAGTATTCAATAAATCAAAAATATAAATAAAGTATCAATAAAGAAAATATTATCTATATTGAGTTGTTTTTTAATTGCTTAAATATTTTCTCATGCCTGACATTATACTTAAGTATTTTCTTTTTTCTACTGATTATACCTTTTGTTTTTATTGTAGATCAATGTAAGAGTAACAACGATGGATGCTGAGCTGGAATTTGCCATTCAGCCCAACACAACTGGCAAACAGCTTTTTGACCAGGTATCATTCACTACATGAAGTATGCAATTTTGACACCATAGTGTGCATGCTATTGCATACTTCTTTCTGTGTTTTTCTATACCTTTACTTAAAATGCTACAATGTAGCATTTGGAATTTTTCACAGTACTTGTTCAGATGTCTTGAACAACTGTAGGGATAGTCTTTCTTATTCCTAGATTTGAGAGATGGTACTTTAAAAAAATAATTACTAGGTATTTATTAATCATCTGATATGCAAATCATTGCAATGAGGACTACAAGGAATTCAGTGATACTCTCCATAGTCCGTGAGTGGAATAGGTGGAGATCCTAGACAGAGCGGGTAAACCAGCAATGGGCTTTGCCCAGGGCACAGAAAGTCAGACTCAGCAGTGAGAGTTTGCAGTGGAATAAGTATTTATTGCAAGGCCCAAGCAAGGGAGTGGGAGACAAGTCTCAGATCCACTCCAACTTGGTCTTTGAGTTAGAGGTTTTTTATAGAAGGGAAAGAACAAAGAAGCTGGGGTTAATCATTATGTGATATTTCTGTGACATTTCTTAATTGTAGTTTTGGTTTGGTTAGTCAGGATGTCTCTGGTTTCGTTATCCGAGGGTCTCTTCGCTTATCTTGCCCTGGAGAAGTAACCTGTGTGTTGATGATGTATGATGATACAAGAGCAGTTTTACTACATTATTGGTATTATCAACAGTGGTAGCAGTTTTGGCCATCTGACTCTGGTTGATTAGTGTTCAGTTAGCACAGGATTAAGGTCAGAGGGGACACCAAAGGAAGTAAAGTTGGATAGAGAGATTAATCATAAACTCGGCAGGGGAACTTGGGTTTCAAGGAGATGGCAGGAGCAGAGGCGTAAGCTATAAATAGGGCCCTGATAGCAGTTTGATGTCCTAGGCTCTTAATATGCTAGCCTGGAGTTAGAACATGGATATCATGTTAAAGAACTTCAACTATTGATTTTGTCCTTTTTATCACTCTTGAGTGCGCACTTGAGCCACCCTGGGGAGTTTTAAAGAGAAAAATAAAGCAGTGCCTGGAAACCACCTCTAGAGATTCTGTTTGATTGCCTGGGACTTACTCTAAACTATTAGTACTTTTATTGAGGCTCCCCAGGTAAAGCTGTATATGATTTAAGTAGTCAAGTTTTATTGAGAAAAGGAGGAAAGAGATTGGTGACTAGGGGGTCAAGTGTTTAAGAAGCGAATTGATTGCAAAAAAGAGGAGGTAGCTTTTACATGAACTTTTACAAGAACTTATGATCAGGAGAGCAGTAGTCTGTGGTCATACTAACTATTGACCTTAGGAAATGGGAGAGTTCCTGGTATTACAGCAATAAATAACATACTAATTACCTGCTGATCCCAAATATGATGAAATAAAAATTTAAAACTCCTAGGAAGTTGTTTCTTCCCTTAACTAGCTAATAAACTTAATCTACTAATTAGATAATTAATGAACTTGAACGCCCAGATAAAATCTTTTTGGAGATCAAAGAATTTTTTTGTTGTGAGTGAGCAATCTTTTAAGGCATCATCGTAAGCAATTGCATGCAATTTACGTTATAGATATTTTACTTTTGTGAACTAATACTTCTGTTGATTATTCTAGGTCTCATGTTTGTAAGTACGTAAGCTATCTTACTTGAATAAAAATGTGGATGGAGTTAGCATTTACTGTACTCATAGCAAATTGAAATGTTATTTATAGTGAGCAAAATGTTTTGTGTTAGTCAAAAACAAATTAGCACATGGGCCTTTTTGGTATTGGTTAGTGAGAAATAAAATATTTGTTTTTTTTCTAAGCAGAATTGCTTTAGTTTAGATACCAGGAAAAAGGAAACTACATGTTTTATGATGCAGTAATGTGTACTAGTTGAAAAACGTGGGCTCTGGAACCACACTGCTAGAGGTAGAGTCCCAGATGTCGCTGTTTGACTTCATACAGATTACTTTCTTTGTCTCAATTTTTCTCATTTGTACAGTTAGGATGATGGTAACATTATTCCTTCAGAAGGTTTTTGTCAGAATTAATTGAGACTTCAGAAGTGTAAACTATGTAGAACAGTGTTTGATACACAAACACACACACATTTCATATTGTAAGTGAAAAGATCTAAGTTAAAGAGTGTTGCTGTCTGTTCCAGCCTGTCTCAGCAGTTTATTCTTGTAGTCGCTGTTCTGTATCTTGGCAACTTGAGCCCAAATTCCAGATCCAAATCTGGTGTTACCTTGTGTGAAGTTGAGTATGTGGGTGAGCTAGCTGTCAGGTCAAGGTCAGTCAGTAGGTTCAGAGTCAGACCAGCAGACCTAGGGGCAGGAGTTCTCTCAGATGAATCTACCTGTAGCCAAACCTCTCTTCCGATTAGGATGTCAGCTTGAAGCCATCTGCTTTGTGGAGGGGCTCTGGTTGAGTTTGTGAGGTCCTTTGGTTTGCTCCCTGCTGACTTTTTCTTCACTGGCCGCCTCTTCCAGTTTATGCCTATGGGATTAGAATAGTATTACCCCTATGGGATTAGAATAGTACTCAGCGTCATCTGTTACGATGCAAGAAAAAAATACTAAAAATGTTTGTTTGTATTTTTATCTTTTAATTTTTTAGGATAGGCTTTCTGATATATTAATGTGATAGCATATGTATAACTTATAAATAAATATGCATATATTGTAGTTACAATATGTTTTTACTTGTAGAGGCATGATTTAAAGTTCGCTAGAAGACTTTCAGAAATAGGGAAAGATGGAGCCTGTTAAGGAATTTCACAACTGTGGTCTCTTACTTTTCTGGTGTGTGTTGTGACAGTCTGAAGTTAAGAGGCTGTCCCTTGTGCCCCACTGGCAGATCCCTTTTTTACTTAGCAGCATTGTGACTCACAGAAAGCCTGGAGACAGAACTGAGGCTTGCTGCTTTGGTACTGCTCTTGACATTTCTTGTTTCTGCCACTCTGAGCTGAAATATTTTCTGTGGCTCTGTTGGGACAGCCTATCTTTTGCCAAAGTTAAATTTTCTGGGGTCTCCTTTGTCCACGTTCAAGTTTTGGTTGTTTGGCATTCATTGATCAGCTTTTGCTATCACTGTGGGTATTTATATACCATATCATTCAGAGAATTCTCTCTCTTTTTTAATGTGGTAACCTTTCCTGATACAGCTAAATTTTTTTTTTCCCACACCTAAATTTTTTTTCTTATTTTTAATTTTTGTATGTGCCATTTCAGTGAAATTTTTTCAAGAGGGAAAGGAAACTGAAGGGTTCCATTTACCATCTTGAAACCAAAAGCCCAGCATGTTTTTAGATTTTTATTTTAGAAGAAATATTTTTTATTATTATTTGTTTTAAACCAAGAATGTTTACTACTTAAGAACTAATATTGAATCTTTTGTAAAGCTTTTAAAGTCCTAATAAACTCTCACCTCCCTCATTTTAAATATAGATTTAAAAATATGCTTTTGTTGGCATAATCCTGAGTGTGAGTTAATAATCCTAGCTTACCACTATAGTTACTCTGTAGTACTCTTGGGTACCTACTACAGACTAGTCATTCTTGGAAATGACATGAATATTAAGATGAATAAGGCAGTAATCTTTTCTTTAGTTTTAAACAGCCAAGGAGGGTAAATAGACACTCTACTAATAATAATTAATTATGATAAAATAAGTTTAAGCAGCAGTATAAATAAAGTACTGTGGAGTTACTAAGGACCAAGTGATTAATTTTGTCTAGATGATAGGAAAGCTTCATTCACAGAAGCATGTTAGTTGAGCTGGGCCTTGCTGCTGCTGTTGCTGCTAAGTCACTTCAGTCGTGTCCGACTCTGTGCGACCCCATAGACAGCAGCCCGGCAGGCTCCCCCGTCCCTGGGACTCTCCAGGCAAGAACACTGGAGTGGCTTGCCATTTCCTTCTCCAGTGCATGAAAGTGAAAAGTGAAAGTGAAGTCGCTCAGTCGTGCCCAACTCTTAGCGACCCCTGGACTGCAGTCCACCAGGCTCCTCCGTCGATGGGATTCTCTAAGCAAGAATACTGGAGTGGGTTGCCATTGCCTTCTCCGGAGTTGGGCCTTGAGGAATACATTATTTAACAGGTGGTAAAAGTACAGAAGAAAAGCAAAGAAAAATAAAAGTACAGAAGAAACATTCTAGGGAGGGGAAGAAGCGTGAGCAAAGGTATCGAAGGGTAAAATTTATGGCATGTTCTAAGAATGGTTTCTTGCTCAGTGAGAGTAGAACATAGAATATATGAGGCTGAGTGAAGGGACGTAGGAATGGAGGTGAAAGCAGCAGCTGGATAGCCTGAGGCATGGCATTTACAAGTCCTCAGAGAGTCTTCCTACCAAAATGATAGTGTTTGTTTGTGCTACTTGATAGTATAAATTGGGTTGGGGGAAGGGTAAACTGAAATAGGAATGTGGGATTAGGACAGCTCTGTGTCTTTTGCCCAGATTCTTCTTTTTATCTCTTAGGGTCATGTTGGCAGATGAGAAGGAAAAGGCACACGGAAGAATGGATCAGATAGGTTGAAATGACATTATGGGATTTAATAAAACCTGAACTTAAATTTTTAGGAATATTCCTTTAATTAGTATGTTAAATTTAGGAAAGATCTTTACTATAATTTCCATGTGGTTTTGTTCTTCCTTTGAAGTATAGTGCCTTCTGGTTACAATGTGAGTGTTGAACTGAACTTTTTTTTTTAAGGTGGTGAAAACAGTTGGTTTGCGTGAAGTCTGGTTTTTTGGGCTGCAGTACATGGACAGCAAGGGCTATTCTACATGGCTTAAACTAAATAAAAAGGTAAACTGTGTATGATAACATATCTAGCTAATAATTAAGTTGCTTTGAAGTTAATCTTGATCATGTTAAATCAGACTGAGCGAGAAAAACTCAGAATCTGACTGATTTTAAACCTCTTTTATAGTTATCTCTGTGAATCATTAGAGGAGTCATGTCTTTTAATTTACTAAGGTACCATCACCATATCATCTTCAAAAACAGAAATGTTCATTTTTTTCCTATTTGAAAACTCAGCAGTAAGAAATACTATAAGGTATTGCTTAGTACTTTGATCTTAATTTAAACATCTTCAGGATAAGTTGCTCTGGAGAAATTTCAATTAGGTTATTAATTAGGATCTGTGAGTTATCAGTCACATTCATAAGCATAGAATCTTTTTCTCACATTTATTAAAGGTTTAAAATCTTACTTAATAGATTTAGAATCTTATGTTTTATATCCTATTTTGTACCAAAAGAGAATATTATGTGACTATGGTCAGTTATTGTGAACCTAAGATTTTTATTGAATATACTTGAAATTACCATTACAGGTGACACAGCAAGATGTTAAAAAAGAGAATCCTTTGCAATTCAAATTTAGAGCTAAATTCTTTCCTGAAGATGTTTCTGAGGAATTAATTCAAGAAATAACCCAGAGACTTTTCTTCTTGCAAGTTAAAGAAGCTATATTAAATGATGAGATATATTGTCCACCAGAAACTGCAGTTCTTTTGGCTTCTTATGCTGTCCAAGCCAAGTATGGAGATTATAATAAAGAGATTCATAAACCAGGCTACCTGACTAATGACAGACTCCTCCCCCAGCGGTAAGTGAAGCATGCGTTTATGCTATAGTCTCTGAAAAATCACATTTTAGAAGTTTGTAAATGGTTGTGTTTTTTGTTGGTTTTTTTTTTTAGATTTTTAATTTGCCAGTTGGGTTAGGGTATACTTTTAAAAGTTATGACCCAGAAGCTACATAGATTTATGTACTCTGTAATTACTTAAACATTTTGTCTCTCCTCATTCTCACAGATAAGCAGTAAGTGGAGGCAGTCATAATTTGGGCTTGAGGAGGCATGAGTTGCTACTTATTAGTAAAAATTCTCATGCAGGTAGACCGTTGCTTAATAAATGTTTTTGAAAATAGTAAGTTCCAGGTTACATTTCCTCCATAGAATTAAAATTAAATTTCTAACTTTCCAAAAGACTTTTTAAGCTTGGTTATTGGACTCTTAGTCTAGTGCTCTGTTCCCATCTGCAGCATACTGCTGCCTGTTCTGAACTCAGGTCTGTTCCCCAGACGCAGGAAAGCCGATCTAATGACACCTGTTTGTGGTGAAGGAAAGTACAGCATTTATTGCAGGGTACCAAACAAGGGAGTGAGAGACAAGTCTCAGATCCACTCCCACCTGATCTTTGAGTTAGGTGCTTATTAAAGGGAAAGAACAAAGATGCTAGAATTAATCATTGTTTTGTGACAGCTTGGGAGTCAGAAGTCTGTGGTCTAAGATTCTCTGGCTAGGTGGCCCGTGACTGGGGGGTCTGCTAAATAACCTGAGTTTGTACATTACTGATGATATCTATAATAGCAGTTTTAGTATAGTAGCAGTTAATAGTGTTATTGACAACAGCAGCTTTAGTCATCTGGCTGTTGGCTGATTAAGTGTTCAGTTAGCACAGGACTGAAGTCAGAGGGGGCAAGGAAAGGCAAAGAAGCTTTGCATGTGGAGGTTAATAAAAACTCAGTAGGAGAGCTTGCTTTCGGGAGACTCGGTTTCAATATAACAGTTATTTCAAGGTAGCATGCTGCAGGAAAGCATCATTAGCAGGCCTTGGTTTTAAATGCCAGTTCTACCCTCTGCTAATTGTGTGGCCTTAGTGTCTCACTCTGCACAGTGAGGGTAACAGTTCTGCTCTGTCAGCTTATGTTTATGACTGCAGTTCGTGAACTGTGTGCTTTACAGTCCTAATTGTAAAGTGTGATACAACTGTTAGTTGGTAGTATTATTTATAAAATCTAGAAATTACATGGAATATTACTTTTGAACATTTCAGTTCTTAATGGTAGTAGTATACACGACCCTGATGTTAGAATGTACATAGGGACTTTTCTCTAGAATCCAGAGAAATTATTACTATTTGCACAGATTCCTGAATTTTAAAATTTCTATTTAAAGGCAGAACTGCATATTATTAACCTAAAATTTAAGTTCTCTATCACTTCCTCATTTAAGCTCTTAAGTATAATTTCTTTTTTGTAGGTACTGAATATGAAGAAATCAAAACTACTTTATGTCTATTTTTATTATTAAGTTCCTTTGGTTGTAGCATTAACAATTAATTTTGGTTAGTAAATTATATTCTGTTGCTGTATGCTTTATAGGTACCATTAAGTACAGTAGATTTAGTAATTGATCATTAAATGTTATGTACTCTTCTCTTTAATTTTATAACAGTAATAGTTTTAATAGTATATATTATATATTATTTACTGAAAGAAACAGGAGTATGAGATACTTGTCAGTCTGTTCATAACTATCGGTCCAACCCAAAATTCAGTGTCTCAGATTTTGTAAGCATTGAATGGAGTAATTGATTACCAGTGTAGTAGAATTGGCATTTCAGATGAGTTTTTTTTTCTTTTTAATTTTAAAAATTATTTGTTTTTTTAAACTTTCTATTTTGTATCAGAATATAGCTGGTTAATAGCATAGTGATAGTTTCAGGTGAACAAAGAAGGGACTCAGCCATATATATACATACATCCATTCTCTCCCAAACTCCTCTCATCCAGGCTGCCACGTTACATTGAGCAGAGTTCCATGTGCTATAGTAGGTTCTTGTTGGTTATCCATTTTAAATATAGCAGTGTATACATGTCCATCCCAAACTCCCTAATTATCCCTTCCTCCCAGCAACCATAAGTTTGTTCTCTAGTCTGTGAGACCTAGAGAAATCCAATGCTATTTAGGAAGAAGAAAGATAGCACCTGCTGCTCAAGATTTGGTTTTTAACTTTGAAGTCAGGTGTCCTTCAAGTTGTTAGTCTCAGGAGGATTCATTCAAGTTATCTAAGTTTAAAAGAAATCCATAATGTCAGAATACTAAGTTTTTAGTTTAGAATGGAGGAGATACTTTCAAGTCATTGATTTTATTCCATGTATGAAAGTGAAAGTTGCTCAGTCGTGTCCGACTCTTTGCGACCCCATGGACTGTCCATGTAATTCTCCAGGCCAGAATGCTGGAGTGGGTAGCTTATCCCTTCTGCAGCGGATCTTCCTGACCCAGGAATCAAACTGGGATCTCCTGCATTTTAGGTGGATTTTTACCAACTGAGCTATGAGGGAAGCCAGATTCCATGTATACTATATAACAAACTTTTATCACTTAAGTGCCTGGGGGAAAATTAGTAATCATGTTATTTGGTGAACCTAAATCAAATACATAAATTTAATGATTTTGATGGATGTTTATAATCCTTGTATTGAAAAACCCAGATAAGCAATCTGGTCTCCCACAGTAGAGTTTAGCAGTCTGCTGATAGGAATAGTCAGCCCCACAGATACTATCCCTCTCTCTTGAAAAGAGCTAGATATACATGTTTTTCTGTACCAGGTTTCTGACTTGGGTATCTGGGTGGTTTGCAATAGCTTTTCAAGGTGAGAAGGAACCCATTTCAGAGAGTGAAGATGTCAGTTTTGAACCTACTGACATCTCCAGTGTAAGAGCAGTTTTATTTATTTATTTATTTATTTAAATATTTATTTCTTTATTTGGCTGCACTGGGTCTTAGTTGTGGCGCGAGCTTAGTTGCAGCATGTGAGCTCTTAATTGGCAGCCTGCAGTTAGTTGCGGCATGTGGGATCTAGTTCCCTGATCAGGGATCGAACCCATGCCCCATGCATGGGGAGCGTGGAGTCTCAACCACTGGACCACCAGGGAAACCCGTAAGAGCAGTTTTAGTAGAGTGTTGAGGGTTGAACCCAGATTGTGGTAGACTGAGGGCAGTGATGTGAGGTGTAGAAATAAAGGACAGTAAATACAAACAGTTCCCGAAAGGAATTTGGCTGTGATAAAGAAAAAAAACTAAGAGGAGGGGAGCATGGGTTTAAAGTGTTCTTTAAAAGATGGAAAATAATTAATTCCTTTATTCACTCTACACATTTTTGCCTCTTCTGTTTTGGCACTGGGCATAATTGGCGAGCAACATGAATGTGAGTGTTGTGTGCTTCACGCAAATGAGTATACTATCATACCTCCTTTTTCTGCGCTTTGCTTTACTGTGCTCTGTAGGTACTGTTTTGTTTTTTTTTTTTTTTTTACAAATTGAAGGTTTGTGGCAGCCAGCATCAAGCAAGTCTGTTAGCACTATTTTTTTTCCAGCAGCTTTAGCTCACTTCATGTATCTCCATCAGGTTGGGGCTTCCTGCACTATTTCAAACCCTCCACTAGCAAAATGATTATGACATTCTGAAGGCTCAGATGGTGGTTACTTTTTTTTTTTTTTAACAATAAAGTATTTTTAAATTTTAGTATGTACATTGTTTCTATGGACAGAATGCTGTTGCACACTTAATACAGTATAGTATAACCATAACCTCTGTACGCATGAGAAAGCTGAAAATTTTGTGTAACTTGCTTTGTTGAGGTGATCTGAAAATGAACCAAAAATATCTCTGAGATGTGTGTGTATCTGGTAATATAGATAGGCAGGGATGGTAAATGATGGAGTGAGAAAATATTTCCTGAGAAAATAGAGGAAAAAGTCATTTAAAGGGATTTCCAGGAGGCACAGTGGTAAAGAATATTCACCTGCTGATGCAGAAGACACAAGAGATGCCGGTTCCACCCCTGGGTCAGGAAGATCCCCTGGAGAAGGAAATGGCAACCCACTTCTGTTTTCTTGCCTGGGAAATCCCATGGACAGAGGAGCCTGGGGGGCTACAGTCATGGGATCGCACAGTGGGACGTGACTTAGCGTGTTTGCACGCACACACACTCACAAGTCGTTTAAAGGCCCAAATAGATTTAAAGCCAAGGTGAAACAGATTAGCCTTGTCATGAAGAAAAGACTCCTTTTTTTTCTGGACAGAAGATTTAGCTTCCCCACCCACCTAATTGTTTTGTTTTTTTTTTCTTTAAAAATTTTTTTCAGGTTTTTTATTTTTGGCTGTGCTGAGTCTCCCTACTGTACACAGGCTTTCTGTAGTTGAGGCAAGTGGGGGCTACTCTCTAGTTGTGCACGGGTTTCTTGCTGAAGTGGCTTCTCTTGTTGCAGAGGACGGGCTCTAGGGCGCATGGACTCAGTAGTTGCAGGCTCTAGGGTCATTTAGAGTCAGTGTTTTTTTGGCGGGGGTGAGATTTAATAACCACTTTATTCCATGGAGAAGGAAATAGCAACCCACTCCAATATTCTTGCCTGGAGAATCCCGTGGACGGTGGAGCCTGGTGGGCTACAGTCCACGGGATTGCAGAGTCAGACACGACTGAGCGACTTCACTTTCACTTTCACTTTCTTCCATGCACTAGGGACTCTGGAAGGGGCTGAGGCTGGGCTGAGAGCACAGAAGGTACAATCCTAGAGCAAGGAGGGCAGGGAAAAGGACAGAAGCCAGGGAAATATAGATGCTCTATTTACAGACCACATCTCACCCACATTCGACCAGCGCCCTCCCCAGCACCTTCTCACCCGATACCGGGTGCCTCAGCTGCCCTTGGGCTAGAGTCTCTTTTCCCAGCCCCCTCCCACCCCCCAAAGCTCAGGGCCAAGGTCTCCAGAAAGCTCATGGCGGGGCCCTGGGGCCCTGTCTTGTCTTGCAGGCCTGAGGCGGCAGTGGCAGTCTGGTGAGGGGACCCGTGCCCCGGATTGCCTGGCTCTGGGGGCAGGGGTCCGGCCCCTGCGCAGTGTGGGCTGGGCTGGGGAGGCCCTAGCGCACTGGGCACGGTGGTGAGCGCTGGACCAGGCACTGGGGTGGCGGAGTCCAGCAGGAGGCGCGGTGCTTGGGGCCTTGACCGACGAGTTCTGGCCAGGGCGGCCTGGGGCGCAGAGAACCGTGCAGCGCAGGGGAGAGGACAAATGGTCCCTGGCTAGTGCCTCCGCATCCTGCACTGGGGACAGGGAACCCTGGGGGCTCTACCCAGCTTCCACTGTCTCAAATAGCCCACAGCGACCTCCACTAGGGCTCAGTCGTTGTGGCCCACCAGCTTAGCTTCCCCACAGCATGTGGATCTTCTCGTTGCAAGAATCAAACCTGTGTCCCCTGCGTTGACAGGTGGATTCTTAACCACTGAACAACGAGGGAAGTTCTCTTTTTTTTTAGTTTAATTTTTATTTTATATTGGGACATTATATTTGATTTACAGTATGTTACTTTCAGTGTACAGCAAAGTGGTTCAGTTATACATAACGTACGTCTATTCTTTTCCATATTCTTTTCCAAAGTGGGAATTTTTAGATACCTGCAAACCAGTCATGCAGATTAATAATGCAAGTACTTATATAAAATGGAAACGAGGGAGATTTGAGATGCTTAATATAAAAAGCCACAACATAAATCTTAGTGGCATTCAATTTAATTAACCTGTACATTCAGATTTTCTTAACATTGTCATTTCTGCAGTTGGCTGCATTGCATTGCATTACATTGCCCTAAAGGCTTGCCTCTTGATGAGCACAGAGGGCAGATGGCAAGAGAGTATTAAGATAAGAAAAATGTGCAAATTTAAGTGCTGTAAAGGTGTTCGATTTAAGTGTTGAAAATAAGAATGTTTGTTCATGTTTGCTTACATTTGTAGAAGAAACACTTAAATGATACAAAAGAAACTAGTAAGTTACTTGAAGCTTGGGGGGTGGTGAAAAAAATGCTTTTTACACTTGTAAACTTATATAAAAGTACCTGTAGAAAACATAACAATTAAATTTAGCATAAAAGCAAGTAAATACATAGAGGCAAAGAAGAATTCTGATTTTTGATTTGTTCCTCTCAAATCTCATTATTCATGAGAAAGTTACTTTCCCTGTTTTTGGTACAATATTTTATTCATTGCAAACATTTGAATTCCCATAAACTATCCATGTAACTATTTCTAAAACTTGATGTAAAATAATTTTAGGGTCATAGAGTCTATATTTTGAGTTAATTGTAGGTTCACACACAGTTGCAATAAAAAATGGTAGTGAGGTCTGGGTCCTGTGTATCCTTCCCCAAGCCTTCCCTAATGGTGACATCTTGCATGACTTCAGTACAATGTCACAACGAGGATGTTGGCATTGATGCCATCCACTGACCCCATTCAGGTTTCATCACTGTTGCTGCAGTCATTTGTGTGTGGGTATGTATGTATTGGTGCAGTTTTATCATGTGTATAGCTTTGTATGACTGCCACAGTTAAGGTACTGAACAATTCTAGACTTTTTAAAAGCATGTTGATTTTGAATCTAAGGGGCATTTTTACAGATTTTTTTTTTTTTCCCTTACAGTGTTTTGGAGCAACACAAACTGACAAAAGAACAGTGGGAAGAAAGAATACAGAATTGGCATGAAGAACATAGAGGAATGCTAAGGTATTGATTGAGTGGTTATTTTCTTAGTGTTTTTCCTCAAATTAAGGTTTTTTTTTTTATAACACTTTTTATTATATCAGAGTATCCCTCAAAGATTATTAGACTTATATGAATACATGTAAAGCACTAAACTTTAATCCTAAATGTTTTGTAATTTGTTTGATCTTATTTTTATATATGTTAAAATTAGCTTTATTTCAACAGGGAGGATTCTATGATGGAGTACTTGAAGATTGCACAGGATCTAGAAATGTATGGAGTCAACTATTTTGAAATAAAAAATAAGAAAGGAACTGAATTGTGGCTAGGTGTTGATGCTTTGGGTCTGAATATTTATGAACATGATGACAAGTAAGTAAATTACATGCATAGTGAACTAGTCTTTATTCAGCAGTCTGTATGGCTTTAATCTTACGTGTAAAGTTCTCTTGGGGATTGATAACTCTTAACTGCTTCTCCCTTGCCCCCAAATTAAAAGATTAATGTCGGATAGGTTCTCAGACAACATACCTGTTTTCTCAACATCTTGTAGTTTCAGAGTTCTACTTCTCAAGAAGTGTATTTATCAAATAGAGTGATTTCACTTCTCTTTGAAGTGTGCTTCCTGATGTCTTGTGAGTTATGTCTGGTAACTTAAAATTTGTTCTCTCATAGATGAAAAGTGATTGCTTAAATGTTTTCTTGGCCTGTAGGTTGAAATTGAAATTAACATGCATAAACAGCAGCAGTGAGACAATGAATTATAGGTGTATGTGTGCTCAGTCACTTCAGTCGTGTCTGACTCTCTGTGACCCCATGGACCATGGCCCGCCAGGGTCCTCTGTCCATGGGGTTCTCCAGGCAAGAATACTGGAGTGGGTTGCCATTTCCTTCTCCAGTGATTATGAAGTGAGTGAAGTGAAGTGAGTGAAGTGAAGTCGTAATTTACTGTACTTTGTAACACTTTTTGTTTGAACATTTATAAGAATTATTTTGAATATTTTTAGACATCAGTAAAGTAGAATATTGCTGTATCATGCATAGTGAACAGTGACATTTTATTTTGAAATCGACCCAGAATGTATAATATGTCAGGCTCTTAGAGAACTTTTAAGTAATGATAACTGCAGTTATTTTATACCTTTCTTTTATTTACCATGTCACATGAGCATCTAAGTCTATGCCAGTAATGCTTTTTTCCAAGATGTTTCTTTTTATTCTGGTCTCAGAACTTTATTTTCATTATTTGTAGGTATCTAATAAAATATACATTCCTCAGCAAATACAATAATTCCAAAAGAGAGTGTTTTGCTGATTTTACTCTCATATTTTTTCATATATTACAAAGCAAATTAAAATGCTATGTGATTCAGAAGAGAAAATTTTGAAAGTTTTGAATGAAAAGCAAAAATGACCTGAAGAGTAAATCTTGTGGATGAAATCTTTTCTTCCTTTAAAAATTTTGAAAGAGTTTCCATTAGAGTACCTGTTAGAGGTGTGACTTCAAATAAAGATGGGGAATGTGAAAGAGGGGTGAGCTCAAGATGGGAAGGATTGGGATTGGAAATTGTGGACAGTGGGGACTTTGGACTTAACTGGAACGTGTCAGTTTCTTTTTATAATGAGAACATATTCATCTTAAAGCATGCTTTTATTCTTTAAGGTTAACACCTAAAATTGGTTTTCCCTGGAGTGAAATCAGAAATATTTCATTTAATGACAAAAAATTTGTTATAAAGCCAATTGACAAAAAGGCACCTGTAAGTAAAATTCCTTTAGTTTATGTATTAACTCTTTAAATTTCTGCCACTTTGCTATGCTAGCACTTGAAGAACGACATTGTCTATTTTTTGAATTGCTTCTGAGAAGTAACCCTTTTCACAGTTTTATTTTAACTGAGATTTAACTATAGGGTAGGAGATGGTTGGAAACAATCACCATTTAAAAAAAAAATGTTGGTGGCTAGAATTAGTGGAGGTAACCCTTCTCTAAATTAACTTGCTTAGAGAGTATTACATAATGAACTTTGGATTTTTGTAACTCAAAGCCTTGAACGTAAGAAATCTTTATGTTTAAATAGTTTTTTTTAATTGCTCTAGTGTCAGGTATACCCTAGTATTTTAGCTCAATTATTGAAAACACAAAGATATGGAGAAAATTTCTAGGTTAAAAAGTTTAACAGAGTTGAAAAAGATCCAATTTTGAAATTAATGGCAAAGGCAAAACAAACAAAAAATCCTCCTCTGAGGTTGAAGGAATTGATGTTCATAGTTTCTTTGGAGAAGAAAAAAGAATAAATGTCATTTAATACATTGATAAGATAAGAATGTTAGCTTCTCCACAAAACCAGTAGGGAATGAAAGGGTGAGGGAACCAGTTTTGTGACAGTATGGCATAAGGAGTGAAGAAATTCTGTGATTTCTAAACTATATGGAGTATGACATTAGAATTCATAGGAGAGGTTACAATTTTCTAGAGATTATTGTGGGAAGGACTATCCTTCATGAAGATTTTAAATTCAGGCTCCTTTATGTTTAGGATTTTGTTTTTTATGCACCTCGTTTAAGAATCAATAAGCGGATTTTGGCCTTATGCATGGGAAACCATGAACTGTACATGCGAAGAAGGAAGCCTGACACTATTGAAGTACAGCAGATGAAGGCCCAGGCTAGAGAAGAGAAACATCAGAAGCAGTTGGAAAGGTACGGAGTTTATGGCCTTTCTTTTTCTTAATCTTTGACTGTGCTGGGTCTTCATTGCAGCACATGGGCACGTCTCTTCTTTTGTTGTGGAACATGGGCTCTAGAGCACACGGGCTCAGTAGTTGGGGCACATGCGCTTCTTAGTTGCATCACGTGGGCCTGGCTGTCCCAAGGTGCGTGGAACCCCAGTTCCCCATCCAAGTGTCAAACCTGCATCCTCTGCTTTGGAAGGTGAATTCTTAACCACTGGACCACTAGGCAAGTCCCTAGCCTTTCATTTTTAATTGATAGCAGAAGATTATCTAAAATTTAAGAATCCTCATCAGTTTCTATAAAATACTCTAAATTTACATTTTTACATTATATTCATTTAATACCATGATACAGTTGGCCAAAAAGTTTGTCCAGGTTTTTCCATAAGGTGTTATAAAAAATGTTATTAAAATTGAATGACAGCATGTGTTATCACTGTCCTCTTTTAAAGTGAGTATGTATAGTTTTCAAGTTAGAAATTTTTTTGATAGATATTTCTGAGAAAATAGCTTTTTGAGACTTCACAGATGTGCTTTTCTTGAATTGTGCTTGCTTTTTACTGACAGACTTTGGTGTGGACATAGGATGAAATTTTCAAGTTTGTTTTGCTTTTGACTTGTGTGTCTTCATTTTTCAGGGTAGGATTATGCTGAATATTTTGATTGGAAACAATGTCAGTGATGTGAAGTGAACAGTCACTATTCAGAGTTTAATAACACTAACACTCCCTGCCAGTGACACTGATCTTTTTAACCAGGGTTCACTTACACTTTCAAAAAAGATGTTAAATATATTAAATTAAGACTTCTGAAACATAAAAATACTGAATAAAATCCTTGTTTACTTTGGAACCACATTACTGGCTCTAGCAGTCATAATGCCCAAATCTGATTCTATATTAATTTAGACTTTATGCTTATTTGAAAAAATTTAGAGACCAAATTAAAGTTAACATCTATTGAGGAAATCATTGTAGAATAACACAATAATCTTAAGAATAGAGTAAGTCTCAAGAAAACAAAATTGAGGACCCCTAACAGAATACATAAAAACATATATTGTGTTGGAAATAATGTGATTTGAATCCAGTAATTAAATCAGCCCTCTGCCAGAAATAGTTTTGCTACCTATATTTTTAATCTTTGTATTAGATACATTTTTTTTTCTTAAATGTTTTGTGTAATTCAGATATTTTATGAATTCACATTGTTTCAGTCAAGTTGTCTGCCTTTGGGAAGTCAGGTCAGTTCAGTTCAGTCGCTCAGTCATGTCGGACTCTCTGCGACACCTGGGGCTGCAGCAAGCCAGGCCTCCCTGTCCATCACCAACTTCCGGAGTTTACTCAAACTCATGTCCATTGAGTTGGTGATGTCATCCAACCGTCTCATCCTCTTGTTATCCCCTTCTCCTCATGCCTTCAGTCTTTCCCAGCATCAGGGTGTTTTCAAATGAGTCAGTTCTTCACATCAGGTGGCCAAAGTATTGGAGTTTCAGCTTCAGCATCAGCCCTTCCAATGAATATTCAGGACTGATTTCCTTTAGGATGGACTGGTTGGATCTCCTTGCAGTCCAAAGGACTCTGAAGAGTCTTCTCCAACACCACAGTTCAAAAGCATCAATTCTTTGGCACTCAGCTTTCTTTATAGTCCAACTCTCATATTCTTAGTTGACTACTGGAAAAACCATAGCCTTGACTATATGGACCTTTGTTGACAAAGTAATGTCTCTGCTTTTTAATATGCTATCTAGGTTGGTCATAGCTTTTCTTCCAAGGAGCAAGCTTCTTTTAATTTCATGGTTGCGGTCATCATCTGCAGTGATTTTGGAGCCCCCCAAAATAAAGTCTGTTACTGTTTCCCCATCTATTTGCCATGAAGTGATGGGACCAGATGCCATGATCTTAGTTTTCTGAATGTTTAGTTTTAAGCCAGCTTTTTCACTCTCCTCTTTCACTTTCATCAAGAGGCTCTTTAGTTTTTCTGCCATAAGGGTGGTGTCATCTGCATATCTGAGGTTATTGATATTTCTCCCGGCAATCTTGATTCCAGCTTGTACTTCATCCAGCCCAGTGTTTCTCATGATGTACTCTGCATTTAAGTTAAATAAGCAGGGTGACAATATACAGCATTGATGCACCCCTTTCCCTATTTGGAACCAGTCTGCTGTTCCATGTCCGGTTCTAACTGTTGCTTCCTGACCTGCATACAGATTTTTCAAGAGAAGTTAACTGCTTCATAAAATATGTTTTAAGCAGACATGAAACTGTCCTGTAATTCCTGACCCCATCATTAAAGATGCTAAGTTGAAATGTTACTTTGAGCTCTGTCATTTTTTACTGCTCTCACGTGGCTTAGGATTACATTGTAGTTCTTGATTTACTTTTAATTGAAGGATAATTACAATATTGTGTTGGTTTCTGCTATACATCAAAATGGATCAGCCATAGGTATACATATGTTCCCTCCCTCTTGAACCTCCTTCCCGCCTCCCACTCCATCCCACCCCTCTAGCTTGCAACTGGCCCCAGTTTGAGTTCCCTGAGTTACACAGCAAATTCCCCCACTGGCTGGCTATTTTGCATATGTTAATATGTATGTTTCTGTTCTATGTTTCTCTCTATTCATCCCACCCTCTCCTTCTTATATTCATCTCACCCTCTTATATTCATCTCATTCATCTTATATTAATCTCACCCTCTCCTGCTTCCATCCCCTGTGTCCATAAGTCTGTCTGTGTTTGCATCTCCATTGCTACCAGGCAAGTAGGTTCATCAGTACCATCTTTCTAGGTTCCATATATGCCTTAATATAGGATATTTGTTCTTCTCTTCTGACTTCACTCTGTGTAATAGGCTCTAGATTTATTCACCTCATTAGCACTGACTCAGATGCATCCCTTTTTATGGCTGAGTAATATTCCATTGTGTACATGTACACAGCTTCTTTATCCATTCATAGACATCTAGGTTGCTTCTATGTCTTAGCTATTATAAATAGTGCTGCAGTGAACATCAGGGTACATGTGTCTTTTTCAGTTATGGTTTTCTCAGGGTATATGCCTAGTGGTGGGATTGTTGGGTCACATGGTAGATTAGCCCTAGATTTTTAGGGAATCTCCTTACTACTTCCCATAGTGGCTGCATCAGTTTATATTCCACCTAACAGTGCACCAACATGTCATGTCCCTTTTCTCCACACCTTCTTCAGCTCTTACCGTTTGAAGATTTTTTTTGATGGTCATTCTGACGGGTGTAAGGTGATATTGTAGTTTTGATTTGCATTTCTCTAATAATGAGTGATCTTGAGCATCTTTTGGTGTGTTTATTAGCTAGCTGTATGTCTTCTTTAGAGAAATGTCTGTTTAGGTCTTTTGCCCACTAATTCCAATGACTTAGTTATTTGCTTTCCTATTATTGAGTTGCATAAGCTATTTATATATTTTGGACATTAATCCTTTGTCAGTTGTTTCATTTGCTGTTATTTTCTCCCATTCTGAAGGTTGTTTTTTCACCTTGTTTATAGTTTCTTTTGCTGTGCAAAAGCTTTTAAGTTTAATTAGGTCTTACTTGTTCATTTTTGTTTTCCTTTCTATTATTCTAGGAGGAGACTCAGAGGATCTTCCTGTGATTTATATAATAAAGTGTTCTGCCTATGTTTTCCTCTTAAGAGTTTTACAGTTTCTGGTCTTACATTTAGGTCTTTAGTCCAGTTTGAGCTAATCTTTGTCTATCATGTTAGGAAGTGTTCTAGTTTCATTCTTTCACATGTAGCTGTCCAGTTTTTCTAGCACCACTTACTGGAGAGACTTCCCTTGCCTCAGTGTATTCTTGCTCCTATGTCAAAGATAAGGGTTTATCGCTGGCCTTTCTGTCTTGTTTCACTGGTGTATATTTCTGTTTTTGTGCCAGTACCATACTTCCTTGATGATTGTAGCTTTGTAGTATACTCTGAAGTCAGGAACGTTAATTCCTCCAGCTCCATTTTTCTTTCTTGAGATTGCTTTGGCTGTTTGGGGTCTTTTGTGTTTCCATACAAATTGTGAGGTTTTTTTGGTTCTAGTTGTGTGAAAAATGTTGTTGGTGATTTGATAGGGTTCACATTGAATCTGTAGATTGCATTTGCTGGTTTAGTCATTTTCACAGTATTGATTCTTCCAGTTCAGGAAAATGGAATATCTCTCCATCCGTTTATGTTGTCTTTGTTTTCTTCTTCATCAGTGTCTTATGTTTTCTACATGTAGCTCTTCGTTTCCTTAAGTTGATTTATTCCTATGTATTGCATTCTTTTTGTTGCAGTGATAAATGGGATTCATTCTTCAATTTCTCTTTCTGACTTTTTGTTGTTAGTGTATAGAAATGCAAGTAGTTTTTGTGTATTGATTTGGTATCCTGTGATTAGCTCTAGTAATTTTCTGATGGTATTTTTAGAGTTTTCTATGTATAGTATCATGTCATCTGCAAACAGAGTTTTACTACTTCTTTCCAGTCTGGATTCTTTTTGTTTTCTTTAACTCTGATTGTCATAGCTAGGAATTCCAAAATTATGTTGAATGATAGTGGCGAGAATGGGCACTCTTGTCTTGTTTCTGATATTAGAGGGGATGCTTTCAGGTTTTCACCATTGAGAATAATGTTTGCTGTGGGTTTATCATTTTTGGCCTTTATTATGTTGAGGTAGTTTCCTTCTATGCCTATTGTTTTAAGAGTTTTATCATAAATGGGTACTGAATTTTTTTCAAAAGCTTTTTCTCCATCTGTTGAGATGATCTTATGGTTTTTATCTCTCAGTTTGTTAATATGGTATATATCACATTGATAGATTTGCGTATATTGAAGAGTCCTTGCATCCCTGGGGTCATGGTGTGTGATCTTTTTTTCTTTTTCCCCAAATAAGTTTCACATATTCATTACTGAGCCTCATAGACTGTTAGCAAGGAAATAAGAAACATGGGAGCCAAGCATTCCATCT